AGCCTGGCAGCAGCCTGGGAAGGCAGGCTCCACTGAAGGAAAAGAAAAGTGGCAAGCCTGATCTCTTCCCCCCCTTTCCCCTCCCCCCCCGCCCCAAACTTGCCTACCTGCGTGAGCTGTGCGGGGACCTGGTCCTTCCTTCCATGGCTGTGGTGCCCCCAGGACCACCCGAGCCGGGTGCCTGTGGGCAGGTGCCGCCTGGGCAGGGGTGCTGCTGCAATGGAGGAAAGCACCAGCCCTTCCTCCCCTGCAGCCCAGGGTCTGGTCCACCTGCCAGCAACTTGTCCTCCCCTTCCACCGCCGGAGACACAGGTAAGGTATGAGTGTATACAACACAGGGGTTTACTTTGCCCTAAATATAAAGCAGCAGTTTTTTTAAAAACCCACTGCTTCAATTTAGGGCCCCCATTTCATCTACGCATGCCCAGTGATTTTATATATATGTAATATAATTTCTCATATGATACAATATAAACTGTTACTCATATCACAACATGATTTTGTGATAACTATGCTATAACAGCTTGTGTTTAAGGACACTTACGTCTGCCAAGTTACAAAGTACAGTTTAGAAAAATATAAGTCAGAACAATTGACGGCTTCATAACAAATCTTCTAGGCAGTTCTAGTCAACTGTCACTACACTTGATGAATAATCCAAACTTCACAATGACTTTCAGTGTTGAACTTGGATCAACTTGCTGTAGAAATGCAGTTCTATAACTTGCACTAGAGAGTAACCTCAAGCAATTGAGCAATTCTGATTCTATCTAGGAGACAAAGATAGAACATGTATTTTGCACTATGGTGTAGCTAGTGAGCTATAATACTTACATGGATTGTTTTCACTTTTTACTCTAAAATATTAACTTATTCTCATGTGGCAAGACAACAGAAATTCTTTTAAAGCATAATTCTGCTTGGAAAAAATGACTAAAATGGCACTGCAGGTTCTATTCCTTATGTCTTTTTATGATTCCTGTAGCAAATATGTTCATTTCACAAATAAAAAGCAGGGTTCTTTTTAACCTTGAGCTCTGCAACCTCAATCTGGGTTTTACTACTTGTGTTTAATTACCTATAAAAAAATTTCTGCTTAACTAATAATATCCCTAAAGGTTTTCAATAATATTCTCAGGATGGCACCTTCATACTCAGATGGTTTGTACAAATTATGCAGCTGACTGAACAAGTTTGCTTGTTGAAAGTTATTCATTCTGCCAGGAAATCTCCCTCATGCTACCAGTTGTTATGCAACTAAAGTTGCCTAAATAGTAAAACCCTTTACTTCTTTCTTTCTTCTTTTTTCCTTCAAACAGGATGTAGGTAGTAATAACCTAGGCATTGAAGCACATTCTTAATCACATTCATAGAAAGTGACACAGATTTGGATTTTATTTCAGAAAACATCCAAGTGAATAGCAGGTTTGGCTACTATAGACAGCTCTACTTAAATATGACTACCCTTGGAAACACAACTGGAGCACCAGTTTTCAGTGTGGGTAATGTAACACTTTTGGCCAAGACCTGAAATTCACTTTACAAGCATATTATAAATTTACCTTCAGTAAACAAATCAAGAGAACAAGGATCACATTCAGGTTCAGCGTAAGCAAGTGCAATTCAGATTGACGTCAATGAGAGTTACATTTTTTAATGCGAGGCTGAACTGGGCCACAAATGTGGTTTTGTGTGTGTACATGTAAGATTCTAATGGGAAATATATTTAAGAGGGACTTGCTGAATTACCTTTATTCTGGGAACATTAATGTTTGCCAGCATTAACAATAAGTAGAGGTAATTATCAAAATTATGCTGTGAATTATGTTTTGCTGTACCTATAAATTACAAGCTTGAATGAAAATTTTTTCCATTAGCTCAGACATGACAGCTACTTTGAAACCTTTTCTTGAGTAAGCGCTGTGTAATTGGGTCCTAGATGGAACTTTATAAGTTGATTGTTTCCTATGTGTACTGCTTCATAAGAGTGATGCTATCTCAGGACTAAATTATCATCATGGAATACCACACTTTAATGGATCAGTACCTGAGAGTTTAGAGGCTGACCCAACAACCATTTACCCCTAAAATACACTTATATTTAGTAGAAGTGATATATAGCTTTCACATTAATATCTAAAGTTTTCCATCAGTCATGTTGGATAAGGAGTTAACATTTATTATTGTTGTTAAATATGGGACAATCGGGGCCAAACTTATCCTATCTTACATGGAGAATAAGCTGGCATACAGGAACATTGCACTGGCAAGGAATCAAGATAGCTACTTGCAAATCATTAGATATGGTCATTACTAGCACCCTTCTAATAGCTTTACAGTTACTATACCTGTGGCTGATTTGTTCTTACTCTATTTCAGGTTTTTTCTCTTGTCTCATTTGGTGTTATTTAGTCAGGCAACAAATCATGTCAATTGCTGCTGTTCCTCCCATGTTTATCTCACTTACATTCTTTACATGCCTGTCACTGCCACTAGAAAGCTTTTTGTTTTTGTTTCATTATGATGTCCAGTCTGATTATTCTATATTGCTGCTCTGGGTGTCTCTCCTTAGACTGCTGTTACTAAAACCTGTCCTTAGATCCAAGAAAGTCTTTGCTGTTGGTCCAGAGTTCATTTTGCACAAAAAAATTGATTTAAAGTCCAGCTGTTATCCTCTGATACATCTATGCAAGTACAGTGTAATCCTTGATATTGGGGACGTGTATGTAAGAGCATAATTTTTTACCTACTGAAACCGTTGGGTATCATTGTGCCTTCCAAAATAATAGATTACTGCAATAGGGATGACAAAAGGTGCCTTGTCAAGGCCATCTGGCATCCTTCACAGTACCTGTCTGAGGATAGACTCTGATGACCAAAAAGGGTTTTTAATTGCCTGCTCCTATAATTTGAAATGCACTAATTTCTGCTATGATTGTTCAGAATGATATAGGACAAGTCCTGAAAAATATGATAGAGGACCTTTTATACCATTAAAAAAAAAGTAAACCTTTCCTTTTTTCTCCTCTGGATTTTGTATAGGAAGTAATTACCTTTTGAGGTCAGTTAGCTGGCATGCATAGGAAAATTTCTGATTTAAAATTGCTACATTTTCTCTGTTGATTTTTTTAAGTTAAGTAAGTTTCTCTTGTGTTTGATGTCACTGAAGAATAATGTTATCTTAATCATAATATATTAAAGTTTTTCTTGTATAATTCTTATGCTTTCTCCAGGAAAAAATATGAAATGTTTTGGTCAATGTGCTGGAGGCATGTTACAAGAAGATGCTATGAAGATAAAGCTTGTCTTGAAACATTAATCAAGGGTGATATGACTTGCTCTGAAAGTGCTGACTGCAGAGCAGCTTACATTGGCAACTGGGGTACCATGCTTCGGGTAGACTGCTCCTGTAATACTGTACCATTAGCTGAATTGCCTCTATGCAAGCTCTTTCAGCACATGCTTCATGGAAAGTCCTGTTTCAGTAAGTTATATGAGAAACAAGTTGTACTTTAAAATATAAACATGTTATGTTAATACAGCAAAATATTATGATGAGTTAATGTGTGAAAAATGTTCATTATGGCAAATTTATTGCTATTACAACACCATTGACTTCAGTAAAATTATACCAGGGATGCTTTTGTCTAAGTGACTTTCATGAAAACCTGTTTTTTTTTACTTGGTACTTGTTGGTGTCTGCTAATCCTTAATATTATAATTAAGGATCACTGGCTCAGTTGTAAGTTGAAATAGCTACATGGATATTTTGGAACAATTAAAATTTACTAAAACTTATGGGGAAGCAATGGCAGAAGACTTAGTAATGCTCTCAAGGAAAAGACAGGACAATCAGTTAGATATGTAGAGTGTTTAGATACCAAGCACTACAAGGAGTAACAAGGAATAACAGCCATAAGTTGACTGAGAGTAGATTCAGGCTGGATATCAGGAGGCACTACTTCACAGTCAGGGCGGCTAGGATCTGGAACCAACTTCCAAGGGAAGTGGTGCTCACACCTACTCTGGAGGTCTTCAAAAGGAGGCTAGATAATCACCTAGCCGGGGTCATTTGATCCCAGCATTCTTTCCTGCCCATGGCAGGGGGTCGGACTTGATGATCTGCTCAGGTCCCTTCCAACCCTACCAACTATGAAACTATAAAACTAATGCGAGAAGCATAGGGAACAAGCAGGAAGTCCAGGTACAAGCACAGAGTTATGATGTAATTGGGATTACAGAGAGATGGTGGGATAATTCACATGATTGGAGCACAGTCATGGATGGGTGTAGCTTGTTCAGGAAGGATAGACGGGAAAAAGGTGGAGTTGTTGCTGTATATATAAAGGTGATATTCAGTGGTTGAGCATGAAGTGAAAGGGAGGCCTATTGAAAGCCTCTAGACATAGGTCGGAAGAGAGAGCAGCAGAGGGATGTTATGATGGGCATCCACTACAGGCCACCAAACTAGGAGGAGAAGATAGATAAGGCCTTCTTTAAATAACTGACAGAGGCCTCCAAGTGGCAGGATTTGGTTCTAGTGAGGGACAGGAATTAACAGAACATCTGCTGGGAGGGAAACACAGCAGTGCACAAGCAATCTAACAAATTCTTGGAGTGCTGGGGATACAGATGGTAGACAGGCCACTAGAGGAGAATCCCCTCTCGACTTGCTGCTCATAGACTGGGACAGATTGATTTAAGAATGTGAGGGTGGAAGGCAACTTGGGTGATGGTGGGAACATCTACACAAGACCAATGAGCAGTAACTGTTACTCAAATTGCCAATTGCTCATGTCATAAGCAAGACTTTATAAAGGGGGAAAAGGGAAGGTCCCACATTTATTGATTACATGAGTTAGACCTAAAGGTTTGGGCACACCATTCATACAAACACACACAATCATCATACACATCATTATACCCAGAGATACATATACACAAAACAACCATTTCATCCACACACACACCAGATACAGTTACCAAAAATAGTTGCTCAATATCAACCCAGGGTGGCCAACCTGGGCTTATTAAGTAGATGATGATGACGATCTGAAGATAGCAGATTTGAAGATAACAGCTGGAGTGCGGTGAACAGATGCATCTGTGCTCCAATGAAACAGCAGTAGAGAAAGAGACTCACCAAACTTGGCATTTTCAAAGTGTTCTTTTATAGGGATTGGCAACCTTTGTTTCGGTGCTTTGGGGTTTTTCCATACCCACCTTCTGTTTTTGTGGTTGTTCTTCTTTGGTCTTCAGCTTATCTTAGCTTTGGACTGTTTGTAGCAGGGCACTAAGGTGCCTGCTACCTGAAGCGCCGCAGTATGGGCTCAGGTGTTGGTTGCTAGGGGCAACCAGGAGGAGCTAAGGGCACACACCTGGTGAATCAGCTGACCAGAAGGGGCAGGGCTGACTACTATAAGACAGACTGGAGGCTGTGAGTGCTCCCTCTCTCTCTCTCAACCTCAACCAGAAGCCAAGAGAGAAGGAGCTCTGCTAGAGCAAGCAGAGTAGAGAAGCCTGGTGGCATGTGCAGCTTCTGCTCACAGATACCAGGTGGAGAATTCCCTGGTAGGGATTTGAATGAAGGTTAGCCAGGCAGCTTAGATTTTATGTTATAGCGGGGGGGCTTTGTGTTTTCGTGTTCGCTGTTTTGACTGGAGGACCGGGTGAGGCTATTAGGGGTTGGAGGAGGCCTCCATAGGGGCTCCACGGTAGTGTGGGGACCCCAGTGCCAGAGAGGGCACAACATTCAGGGGTGCACTGACCCAAGCCCTGAGAAGGGGATCAGAGGATTGGGAGGGGGCCAGGTAAGGCTGAGGCCACCTGTGCCCTAAGGTGAGAAGCCCCAGAGCAGGCGGTTGCGAGAAGACCCAAAAAGGGGACAAGCCAGAGAGCACCCATGGGGGCGCAGGCTGTAGGACAAGCCAGAGAGCACCCGTGGGGGCGCAGGCTGCGGGACAAGCCAGAGAGTGCCAGTGGGGCACTGGAGAGAAAATCAACCAAACAACGTCCGGTAGGCTTGGGGTGTGGTACAGGGGTGGTTGGAGCCACGCATAGCCCATAAGGCTGGGGTGCACCGAGTCAACCAAAATAGAACCAAGACCGGGATACATCAGAGCACCGTGTCAGAGAGGACAAAAGGCAGCCTCCCTTATACATTGTTAACACCAAAGACATGGCAGGAGAGACGTGAGGGTGCTTTAGTACCACATTGGCACAGTAGGGGGTGCTAGGGGAGATCACGGCCACCCTTAGGACCCCGCGCTGTTACACTGTTCTTGTTGCCCATCTGGCAGAATGGGTACATTCCTTCTCCTTGTTATCTTCATTGTGCCCTACTCCTAAAAGGAATTCTTCAGCCATACATTAATTAGTTTATTGACTGGTAACTTACATTTGGCACCTTGTTGCTTCCATAAACAGGTAAATCTTCCATCTCTGCCATTCTTTCACCGTTCACCCTCTTACACACACTCCTACATAAGGGCTATGCAGAGTTCATTCACTTATGTCAAGCAGAAGCATACAAAATGGAGTTTTTAAGTTGCTTACAGGACAAGACTAACATGGTTACATTGCACTATTGTTACACTCTGCTGTTAACATCAGCTACATTAGTTCAGTTCATGCTACATAACAACAGAAAAAAGCCATGCAGGAATGCTACTGCACAGTAATGCCAGTTACTGACACAGTCATTTAGTATTTGGTTATGCAAGTAATAACTGTGCAGTCTACCACTTATATAGATCACAAAATGATGGCATTCAAGATCCTAAGGGGAGGAAAGAAAGAGAGCAACAGAATAGGAGCACTGGACTTCAGCAAAGCAGACTTTAGCAAGTTTAGGGAACTGGTAGGAGGATCTCCTAAGAAGCGAGTCAGAGGGATAAAGGAGTCTAGCAGAATGGTTATACTTTAAGGAGGCCTTTTTAAGGGTGCAGGATCTAGCTAACCTGATATGATGGAAGAATGGGAAGTGCAGCAGGAGGCAAACCTGGCTAGCAGCAATCTCTTCAATAAGCTGAAACTCAAAAAGGAATCCTATGAAAAGTGCTAACTTAGTCATACGACTAGGGAAGAGTATAAGAGTATCACACAGGCATGCAGGGAGAAAATTAGGAAAGCCAAGGGACATAAAAGATAATAGAAAAGATTCCACAGTGTGTAAACAGTAAGAGACAGAGCAGAGAAATCATAGATCCTTACAGAATACAGAAGGCAATCTTCTTATGGATGATGCAAAGAAGGCTGAAAGTATTTAATGTCTTTTTTACTTCAGTCTTCACAAATAGGGACAGCTACAGAGTAATGGCAGAATAGGTTAGGGTTGCAAGTTACTTATCCAAGCTAGATGCTTTCAAGTTGGTGGGGCCAGATGGGTGCCTCCTAGGGAAATAAAAGAATGGGCGAGGTAATTTCAGAGCCATTAGCTATCCTTTTTGGGATAACTAATTCCTGGAGGTTAGATAAGGTACTGAATGACTGGAAAAGGGCAAATTCCCTTTAGAAAGAGAAGGAAGAAAATACAAGAAATTATGGACCAGCCAGTCTGACTTTAATATCTGGAAAGATCCTGGAGCAGGCCCTCCAGGAGTCTAGTGAAGCACCTGGAAGAGAACAACGTGATCTGTTGCTTTTAATTTTGATCAGGGCGTGGTGTGAATGGAATGAAATGATCAGTGAAAATGTTCTGGTCTCAAATCCTAATTCACTGAACACTTAAGCAATACCGCTCCTTGAGCAAAACCCTGAACAGTCTATAAAGATATTCTTACACAGATCTTCCAAATGATGCACAATGACTCAGCTAGCCAGGCATCATCACAGCACTGGGGGTTGCAGTTTTGACCAGCATGGTCTCCTCTTGCTTGGTGACAATTCCCCAAACTTAAGTTTTTTTCTTAGGCTTTTATACTTTTTTATAGCCCTCTTCTGTGTATTCCATATATGGTCATGCTAGGAATCCTCACCAATTACCTTTTACAACAGTTATTTCCTCATCAATCTGTCACCCTAAGCCTGTTTCTTTTCATCTTACTGCTCAGCTACGGAGCCATACTTGGGCTTGTTTTGCTATCTTGTTTTTCTACATTATACAGTTATCTACATCTTTGTTTTTGTTGTGCTAGTTGCCTCTGTACTCATTTCGCTTGCAGCTCATGGCGTTTGTTCAAAAGGAAAACGATCTCATCAGTTATGTTAAGGCAGCTTACAGGCCAACAGTCCCCTCTTAGATTAGTGGCTCCATTTAGGATACCACTATCATTATTGTCAACAGCCCAGATATAAGATGAGACTCCATTCTTCTCAATGCCACCTGTGGAGGGGATGGGATGTGGCAGCTCTCAGTGCTTACCCTGGCCTTGACTGGTGATCTTACCACAAGATATCTGTGGGTGTGTCTACAAGATCTACTGTGCAGTAAGAAGTTTTTACACTAGCATCTACATGTGCAGGCATTACAGCACAGTAACACTG